ATCTGGGCGTGCGGGCGAGATGGAGCCGAGACATATCCGAGATACATCCGAGATACATCCGAGATGTAGCCGAGATATGGCCGCCGGCATCTAGGCGCTGCGCACGTCGGCGCGGGACCAGAGCGCCTCGTCCGAAGCGGCGAAGGCGGCGGCGCGCTTCGCCTGCAGCTCCTGCGCCGTGGGGGGCGCGAGCGTGCCGTCCGCCGCCTCGGTCGACAGGTCGTCGAAGAAGACGTGCCTAGTCTCGGCTGGTCTCGGCTGGTCTCGGCTGGTCTCGGCTGATCTCGGCCGATCTCGGCCGGCAGGGGAGGCAAGCGCGCGCTTGAAGGAACACATGCGGTAGTCGGACGCGTCCCAGGCCTTGCCCATCTGCGCGAGGAAGGCGCCGAAGATGTCCGCGTCCGTCGCCTGCACCGGGCCCGCCGGACCGGCGGGCGCGGCGGCGGCGGGCGCGGCGGCGGCGGGCGCGGGCGCCGCCGGAGCGCCAAAGAGGCCACCGCTGGGCGCGGCTCCGAAGAGGGAGGTGCCGACGGGCGCCGGGGCCGGCACCGGCGCAGTGGCGCCGAAGAGCGAGGTGCCTACCGGGCCAGCGAGCGGGCCTCACACAGGGTGGTGGACGGGCTGACGCACCGGCAACGCGGTGAGCGGCGCCGCCAAACGGCGCGGCCACGGGTGCTGGCGTAGGCGCGCCGAATAGGCCGGTGGCGGGCGCCGGCGCCGGCGCGGCGGGGGCCCCGAAGAGCCCGCCGCCGGCGGCAGGCGGCGGCGCCGCCGCCCCGAAGAGGCCTGCGGCGGGAGCCGGCGCCGCCGGCGCTCCGAACAGCCCAGTGGCGGGCGCTGCCCCCGACGCCGGCGCCCCAAACAGGGAGGTTGTCGCCGCCGCGGGCGCAGGCGCGCCAAACATCGAGGAGACGCCCGAACCGGGAGTAGTCGCGCCGCGGCAACGAACCTGCAGCCCCGCGCGGGCGGCGGAAAGAATTTTACACAGGGTCGCACGACACTGGGCGCGCACTGGCACTAACACGGTACACCACTGGAGCGGCGGAAAGAAACTCTGGACCCAGGTGTCAGGTGCCCGGGGGGGTGAGGGGGCTGCGGACTCCCTGCCACCCGATGTACGTTAAGCCGCTTCTCATCGGTTCAGTTCCAGAGACCTCCTCCGGGTCAGGAGCAAACGTTGCCGAATTCAGCCTCCCCGAGCGGTGCCACGAGAGCCTCCTTCCATGTGGGATTCGCTGCCTGGCACTCGGGTGTCTCGCACGAGGCCGTGGCGGAGTAGGTGGCAGCGTAGCCGTTCCATTGGAGAGAGCAGACCAGCCCGCGTACTTGAACGCGTACGGCTTGACGTAGCCGTTGTCTGCGATGAGCTTGTTGATCGCTGCCTCGCCCTCAGCCACGTGGGCCTCATCTGTGACCCACGCGGCCAGCTCCTGCTTCATCTCCGCGACGGTGGTGCAGGTCGCGGCAGACGATGTCGGCGTCGGCGTTGAAGACTTGCAGAGGGCATTAGACGCCGACTCGGAGGCCGCACCGGTCAGGCGCGCAGCCGGAGAGAGAGAGGCGCTCAATCGCCGCACGCGGCGAGTGCCTCCATCATCTCCGCCTCATACGCACCCTCCACCCCCGCGCCCGTAGCGTCCGCGTGCTCCGGCCCTGGGTTTCTTGCCGCGCCCCTCCCCTCCTCCCTCCTCCCCACCAAATTTGGTCTGGCCTCCGCGGGGAGGATCAGGCGCTGGGAGGCGGGCGTCTCATCACTTGAGGCGTCCGATGCTGCTAACGGCGGTGGGGGCGGCGATAGCAGCCGCGGCGACGGCACGCTACCGCGCGCGGGTCTCGTACGACGGCGGCGCCTACGCTGGAATGCAGTACCAGCCGACGAGGCCCACAGTGCAGGGTACGTTGCAGAGAGCGCTCGCGCGCCGCTGTCAGATGCCAGCCGTGCGCGTGGTTGCTGCTGGCCGCACCGACGCCGGCGTGCATGCCCGAGGGCAGGCGGACGCCTCACTGCCTCCTCCCTGCCCACCGCCGGCTCCCTCTCCCCGACCGCCGCCCCTCCCTCCGCCGCACCTCGCAGGCGGTGCACTTTGATCTCGACAGCGGCACGTACGATCCGGCGGACCTCGAGCGCTCGCTCGGCGCGCTGCTGCCTCCGGACCTGGCGGTGAGTCACGTCGAGCGCGCGGGCGAGGTGGATGGCGCGGGGAGGTCGTGGCACGCAATCTTCTGGGCGACCGGCAAGCGCTACTCGTACCGGCTGTACGCCGGCCCTCCGGGCGGCAGGCGGTCGACGCCGTGCCTGTCCGCCATCACTCCAGTCGCCGTCACCAGCTAATCCGTCACCACGCAGCCACTGCCCAGCGCCACCGCCCCAGCGCCACTGCCCTGCGCCACTGCCCTGCGCCACCGCCCAGCGCCACTGCCCAGCGCAGCGGCGCCTAAGAGACGGTCGCTCACGACGCGGCAGGGACCCGACGACACGGCTGTCCGGCAGATCACAATCTCATGTAATCTCGTGCAATCTCGTGGCAGGGACCCGACGACACGGCTGTACCGGCACCACGCGCACAGCTCGCCGCTCGACCTCGACGCGATGCGGACCACGGTGCGCGCGGGAGGCCTGAGATGGGCAGAGATGAGGAGAGATGGGCAGAGATGGCGATGGCTTGGCCCGAGTCGAGCGGAGGCTTCCCGAGGGACGTCAGGCGGCGGCGCTGGTGGGCGAGCGCGACTTTCGCGCCTTCGCAAACAAGCCTCGCGGGTCGGCGCCACCCTACGAGGCGAGCTCACACGAGCTCACACGAGACGACACGAGATGACACGAGCTCACACGAGATGACACTAGTTGTGATCTCGTGTAATCTCGGCGCCGCCCCACGAGGCGAGCGCGCTGGGGACGGTGCGGACTGTGGCGGAGGCGGCGGTGGTGGACGAGGGGGGCGGATGCGTGCGGCTCGACTTCGTGCTCAAGGGCGCTCTCTACAAGGCGGCGCCGCCTCACCGCCGCCGCCTCACCGCCGCCGCCCCCCCTGCCGCCACCTCCTCCCCTGCCCCCCCTCCTGCCGCCTCCGCACTGCCTGCTCACTCCCGATGCTCCCGTCACCGCCGCCACCCGCACCGCTGCCCGCGCTCACCGCCCGCCCCCGCCCGCACCGCCTGGCCGCCGCCACCGCCGCCACCGCCGCCGCGTGCCGCCCACCCACAGATGGTGCGTAACCTCGTATTTCTTTCACCCACGTATTTCTTTTACCCGCAGATGGTGCGCAACTTCGCCGGCGCGCTCGTCGACGTGGGCGCCGGCCGGCGCAGCGGCGACGACGTCGCGGCGCTGCTCGCCACACCGCAGCAGAGTCTCCGCTCCTCGGGCAGCGGCGCGCGGCTGGCGGGCGGCGTGGGCGCGGGCTGGCCGAAGCCGGCGCCGGCGCACGGGCTGACGCTCGAGAGCGTGTACTATGGCGCACCCGCGTGGGGCGGTGCGCACGCCCACCCGCTGCTCTCTGAGCCGATCGGCTTTGGAGCCGTTAGTACTCGAGATCCTCTATCCTAACTTGACACGCGGCGACGGCGACGGAGCAACCTCCGTAGTACTCGAGCTTTTCCCTCGTTCGCGTTGTGCCCAGCCATCTCCGCGCCGCGCCTCCCCGCCCTCGCTTTTGCAAAATCCTGCAAACGGGTGGGGACGTGTCGGCGTGGCTTGGGATGTGTGCTCTTTCTTTCTTTCTTTCTTGCTCGGTTGTACTTCAAACCCGACCGCCAGCCGCCACCTCAAAAAGAATTCCACGTGTCATGAAGGGCTCGAGAAGCTCACGTTCGCGTCGGAGCGCCCCTCTGCCTCCCGTAAGTAAAAGGGCCCGCACCGTGAGCGGTGAGGCACACCGCGCCCCTAAAATGACATGTCGTGTTTTGACCACCTCACAGTATCTAGATAGAGAGGTGTCCGTTTTTATTTATTTATTTAGGAGATGGGTAAAAAGGAACAGGTCCCCGCCCATGCGGTCTTTGTGCAGGGTTATTTGTGGGTGCGGTCGACGAGACGCGATGTATGTACGACCTACGAGCTACGTTAAAATGCATTGACGGGATTATGAGTGCATGATTGTGGGTCGCCAGCCACACCATAAAACTCGCTCTCTCCACATGGCGCAGATCTGACGTTTGACAATCGTCAGATCCGTGTTTTTTTGGTCTTGCGGTACATCTCTCCGCTCGCCACCTCACGCTCCGCCGTCCGGCCATGGATGGTCCGATGGAGCTCGCCGAGCTCCATCGGACCATCCAACTCCGGTCACCGGGTCTGAACGCGCTCAGCCTCAGGAGGTACCAAACCGCGCGAATTCTGCACGCCTCGCTGCACCGCTGGCTTGACTGAATCAGGCAGCAGCAGGCTGCTGCTGCTGCTGCAGCAGCAGTCTGCTGCGGCCCTAATACGCAAGTTGATGACTAGCAGCACTGCCGGGGGCATACGAGCCGCCACAGCCGGTGTGCGGCCGTGCACTGCCACCTGCCCGCGGCTACGCACAATGTGCGCTCGCATTGGATAAGCCCTGCTGATGGACCTGCATCGCCTAGCTGCACGAGAGCAATGCCGCAGGCAGTGGCCGTGGCATACACTGCGAGCACACTTGGTGCAGCTGCGAGGTGCAGCAAGAGCACGTCGTTCCTGCCTCTGATGCCACTCTCGCGGCTTGTAGCGCGTCACTCGCGCATGCTCTCCAGGAGCTATGGCGGGCGCGTGTGTGGGGCTGTAGCCTGTGTTTGGCCGGTTCTGACCCGTTTACTATCAGTATCATGTCCGGGCCACAAAAAATCGCACACGGGTAGCGGCTCAGGGGCCCAGTAAGTCGCGGAATCGCCAAATGTCACAACCTGCGTTACCCAGGGCTGGACCTAGTCAGAGGCGGCGGGCGGGCGCCCACTCACCAAGAGATCAAAACGGCTAAACGGGACGGCCCGGGGAGGGAGCGAGACCGCGCGCGGCGGGGGCGGCGCCGGCGGGGGCGCTGCACCGCTGGTCACACAATACGATCAATTCAATATATCGACTGCGAAAGAAACCAATCTAACCTCTCCAGACTCCACCACGACCGCTCTCGCCGGGCTTTCCTCGCCCCTCCTACACACCTCACACGATCGCAACCCTGGCTGCACCCCGCAGGCGCGACACCGCACCGCTCCCCTCCTGCAACTCATACCAACGAGCGGCCCAGCGCTCAGACCGGCACATCGTGCACGCCCCCCTCCGGCGGTGGCGACTCCTGCGCCTGCGACCGGGGTGCGGAGGCGAGTGAGCTGAGGGGCGGGCTTGCGCCGCCGTCGCGTCTCCCCCGGCAGCGAGCCTTCGGGGCGGGTCGCTGGAAGAACGGGTCCCGCGCCTCCTTCCGAAGCTCGAGCCGCAGCGCCTGCCGAAGCGACAAGCCTCACTCGCCACGCGCCACTCGCTCCTCGCGCCACTCGCTAAGAGCGACTCGCTGGTAGCTACTCGCTGCTAGCAGCTAGGCACTCGCGTCCGCCTTGGTCGAGGTCTGCGTCGTTGCCTCCTTCGGCTTAGACGACGACGACGAGGAGGAGGAGGAGGAGGAGGAGGGGATCTTGGACAGGCTCGTCGCGACGATGGTCAGGAGCAGCGCCTGAGGAGGAGGGTGCCTGCTCTGCCGCTGGAGAGAGCCGAGGCTGCTGGCGAGAGCACGGTCCTTGTGCCGCAGGAAGAGTCTCGGGAGTGTCTAGGAAGTGTCTAAGAGCGAGAGCACGGTCCTTGTGCCGCAGGAACAGCTCCGAGATGCGCCGCTGCTCCGGCGGCGGTAGCGAGGAGCCAAAGTCCTTTAGGGCGAGCGTGACGGGGCGCGAGTTGAAGGGCGAGACGAGGGCTGGGCCCTGCTGCACGCTGCCGAGGCGGAGGCCGGTCGCCGCCTCGAAGACCTCGAGCTTGCAGCTCTCGAGCACCATCGCCTAGGAAGTGTCTAGGAAGTGTCTAGGAAGTGTGTAAGGCCTCGAGCTTGCAACTCTCGAGCAGCATCGCCCGCAGCGGGTTCCGGTTGCGAAGCTCGAGGACAAACTGGACGGTCGACTGCAGCCGAGGCGCCCAAAAGTCGGACACGTCCACCTTGAAGCGGCGTGCGTTGACCGAGATCGCATCGCACTCCACGGGCCACGGCGCGTACATCTGCGCCAACCCCAGCCCCGCCGTGCCCAAGATGGTCAGCGCGAGGCTCGCAAGCAGAAGCGGCACGCAGCGGCCGCCCCCCGCGCGCTGAGGGCCGTCCATCCAGTCGTCGTCGTCGGAGTCCGCGGCAAGCTCCCCGTTGGGTTTCAGCCGCAGATTCTGCTGAACCACATCGGCGGAGTTTGTCTGGTGCCTCCTTCGCTCGCGGACGCCCAGCTGTTCCTCAAGAGCGGCCCGGTCGTGCTCGTCTGGCTCCGGTGCGCTGGCGGCGGCCTCCGACGACGCCGAGGCCGCTGGCGCGGATTCGGCGATCAGATCGTCGAGCCGCGGCATATAGAGCTTGCTCTCTACGCCTCACGCCCGGAGTCTTGGAAAAAAGAATTCGCAGTACCGTCCTCCTCGCGCATCCCTCGTTTGCGGTTGTCGGTTTCTTTCTTTCTTCTTTACCCTGGGCACGGGACTGGCGCGCACTGGCACTAACACAGGTACTATGTGAGTGAGTGAGTATTCTTGATACGAAACCACGACGACACACACCAGTCGACAAACAAATCTAACACTCACACGTCATTTGGGGCCTGGAGCCCTGTATTTGTTTGGTATTGCTAAAAATCTCTCTCCCAGTCGACTCGTATCGGTTGCCTCCATGAACGGCGGAGCTATTCTCGCGCCCACACCACACCTGGCTCCAACGTGGACACGCCCATAGCTGGGGACACTACTAGGTCACGCATGGCATCAGAAGTTTTATCTCTGGGCCCCGAAAGGCATCTCTAGCAGCGTCGTTACGCATGCGCCCTCCCCTCCTGGGCGCATGCGCCTCACGTCTCGCCAGAGCATAAGCTCTCGGTGTGCCACGAGACGAGTTTTTCCCCATCGCCGCGAGCAGCAAGCCGCCCGCCGCAAACAGCCGGAGGCATCGCCACGGCACTGACTGCGCCGCGGTCCCGCACCCGTCGACGAAGCTCCCCCCGCGGAAGACCGCGCGTAGCGACGCCTTGACGATCGAGATGAGCGCGCTCGAGGCTCGCCCACCTACTGCCCCCGTGAGAGTTGGTTATGAGTGGGCTCGGACAACTGGTAGCACAGGATGGACACGACGATGCCCACGAGCATGCCCCCTGAAGCGATGGCGAAGTTGAACGGGCCCGAAAGCGGCAGCTCCATGAAGCCGAGGTGGACCATGGTCCTAGGGAGCAAGCACCAGAGGTGCACCTACAGGGCGCAGAGGCCAACGTGCAGGATCCTGTGTTTTCGGGACGCACGATCGAATCCTCATTCGGGATGAGGGCCCTTTTCTTTTATTTCTTTAAACCCTTTTTTCGGCTCCCGTAGTGAACCTGTGTTAGTGCCAGTGCGCGCCAGTCCCGTGCCCAGTGTCGCGAGAGGGAGGTTTGTTGTAAAATTCTTCTTAATAAGGTGTGTATGTGGTCAGCCGCCCAGCCAGCGGAGGAGAGGGCGAGTGAGGGTACCCGGGTACGGCGTCTGCACGTTGAGGCTAGTTCCTCGTTCAGGTCGGCACGAGCAAACACCTCGGCGCCTTCAAACGGCCCGTGCCGCCGTCGTGTACGCTCGCACCACCGAGGGCAAGGCGGACACAGTCACTCACATATGTGGCAGCTGCTCCCCCTGATCGGCGTCCTCTTCCTTCTGCTCGCCAACGTGATCGAGCACGTCTGCTATCGGCTCAGCTCGCGGCGGGGCACGATGCAGTCGCGGCTCGATGATGGAGTCGCGGCGGCCGAGGAAGACGGCGACGACAGCGACTTTGAGGACGAAAAAGACGCCGCGGGCGCCGCTGGTGCGGCGTCGGCCGAGGCGGTGTCGCGCCAGCTCTTCGTGGCGCGCTGCTGCGGCCTCCTCCTCGCCGGCCTCCTCCTCCTCGGCTCGGCGGCGCACGACGAGGCCATCGCCTCTGCAGCACAGCTGCCTCCAGCACCTCCCGTGGGCCCGCCGCCTTCTCCGCCACCCGCGCCGCCGCCGCCGCCGCCGCGACCGCCGCCGCCGCCGCCGCCGCCGCCGCCGCTCTGCGCCTCGTGCCTCGCCTCCCCGCTCTCGCCTTGCTTCGAGGACCCCTCCTGCGCCACCAGACGCGGGGCCATCGGCTGCAACGCGCAAGGCCACCTCACCTGCCGCTTCTGCGGCGAGCCGCCCCTCGTCCCCTGCCCGCTCCTCGGGCCAGCCTCCCCCTCCTCGCCCCCCGAGCCGCCCCTCGCCCCGCCAGACCCGCCCTCACCCTCGCCGCCGCCCTCGCCGCCGCACCCGCCCCCCTTCCCTCCGGTGTGGCCGTGGCCGACTGCAGCCGACCAGTGCCCGCAGCGGCACGGCGCGGCGGGGCCGCGTCCGCCGCCGCCGCCGCCGCTTCCGCCTCTCTCTCCCGGCGAGCTTCCTGCGCGCTGCACTCCGGCAGGCGGGGCGAGACACTTCCTAGACACCTCCGAGACACTTCCTAGACACTTCCTCGTGTCTCGCGCTGGCGTGGAGCAGCGGCTCGTACCTCGACTACGAATCAATGAATAGCAACTCTTAATTATGAGTGATGCACTATAGGCGGCGACGCGTGGAGCAGCGGCTCGTACCTCGACTGCTGCGGCGGGCTGCGAGTCTCCTTCCGAGACTACCGCTACCTCTGCCACCTCTCGCCGCCCCCCCCGCCGCTCTCGCCGCCGCCTCCGCCTCCGCGCGACGGAGTGCGCTCCTTTTACATCTACCGCGCCCAGGTGACACTTCCGAGACACTTCCGAGACATGTCTCACCTCGGCCCGTTTTGCGCCCCCCCACCCCTCCTTTTTGCGCCCAGTCGGACGTCGACTACCCGATCGGCAACCACAACCTCGCCAACCTGCCTGGCGTGCTCAAGTACGTCCACTCCGAGGCGGTCGGCGCGCATGTACGAGGCGGCTGGGAAGTGTCTCGGAAGTGTCTCGGAAGTGTCTCTAGGTGGTCAACGCGCAGTCGTACGACAGCGGCGTGTGCACGCGACACTACGAGATCTCGCGTATCCTCCGCTTCCGGCTCACCTCTTCCTCGACCCTTCGGCACGCCTGCTTAGGTTGGGCATCACGATGTTGACGCGTTACCCTATAGGCTCGACTTCCTCAACCCTCCCCCCTTCGGCGCCGGGTTCGGGCCCTTCGTCGCATTCGACCGTGGCAGGTCCACACCTCTCACAGCTACGCGAGTGCACGACGCAGCCCGACGTCTGAACCACATCGACAATGCATTCACGCAAGGTGCACCATCTACGAGTGCGCGACGCAGGCCGACTTTTGGACGGCCCGAGGCGGCTTCTACGTCGGCTGCCAGGAGGCGGAGCAGCTCGGCTACGAGGGCGCCGCCTGGTACTCGCTAGCAGGCCGCTGCCAGCCGAAGCTCTGCCGAGGCGAGAGGCGTGGTATGATGGTCATCACTGGATCGCCAATGTGTGATAGGCAGCTGCCCAGCCGAGGCGTGGCATGTCCAGGACACGTCCACGACATGTCCGGGACATGTCCTATAGGCAGCTGCCCAGGCGAGGCGTGGGAGCGCAAGGGAGCGGCGTGCAAGCGGCTGCAGCGAGGAGGGGAGTGCGCGCACAGCAGGCGCGCGGGAGACGCCACTGGCCACTGGCCACTGGCCTCACCTCGCCCTTTCCACCCTCCCTACCGCACTTGGCGCAACAGGCGACCCGACGGCAGCCCGACATGCACCTGGCGGCTCCACCCGATGGGCGAGGTGCGCGTGGCCTCTGCTCGAGTAGACACAGTAGTAGGTGTCTAGTAGCAAGTAGGCGTGGCCAGTGGTGCAGTTGCGCAGCTCTCCCCTCCCGACGCCTCGGGTGGAGCCCCACTCCTTGACACACACACACACACACACACTCCTTGAGAGGCTCCCTCCCCCCCGATGGCGCGAGAGCGGTGTGCCGCCTCAGCACAGTAGGACTAACGGTGAGCGACTCCTCCCCTCCCTCGCATGCACACCCCCCACAGGTGCGGCTCGACGACCTCTCTCGCATCTCCGACGGCGGCTACCGGCGCTACCAGGACTACTGCGACGCGGGCCACGCAGAGGTTGGCGAGCTCAACAACGGCCAGCGCCGGTCGCAGGGCGGGGTCTGCTTTTGGGACAAGCCCGGCGACCCCACGGCCAACGCGGAGAGGGTAGCGACGGTGGAGGCCGAGTTTCGGCGGCGGTACCCAGAGTCGCCGGAGCTGCCGGCGACGTACGACTGTCAGTAGGGAGTACGCGGGTGTGCGATTTTTACGCACGCGTGCAGGCAGTATTGAGTATAGGAGCATCTTGCTTTTTGGTGCTGTGGAGAGAGAGAGAGAGAGAGCACTTGATGTGTAACCCATTCTTGTTGCATCCTCAACTTCACAGTCAGTCCGTTCCTCGATTTTTTTTCGGCGGACGGCGCGCTGCATCACATTGCCTGCTGGGCTGGGATTTTTTTGAAAAAATCTCACCAGCTATCCTTGCAGCCCCCCTCTCGCGAGGCTGGGGCGACGAGTGCGGTCTGCGGAGCTCCATTTGTGCGCGTGGCGGGGACATGACTAACCCACCCAAACCCAGTCTCACCCGCTTTTTGGAAAAAACCGAGAGAAAAAGAAAGAAAGAAAACAACAACCCAAGGGTGGGCACCGGGACTGGGAGGAGGACCCGCTCGGGTTCGACACCAACCCGATGCTGCTCCGCGCCATGTGCATGGCGTTCGAGTGAACGCCGTGCAGGCAGCCTGTGCCTTTTGGTGTACCCCGTTTGTACCGCGTCCTGTGCCCCCGAGTTCATTTAATATAAATACCCCAAGGGAGGGTGGGAGGGATGGGAGTGACATGCCATATGGCCGCCTTTCGTTTGTTTCAGAGCCAGTTTTTGCCACTTCGGTTAGCTCTTGAGGGTCCGATATCGAGACCCAAATATCCGTCCCCGGAAATAGGGGCCAAGAGCGCAGTTTTTGCCAATGCTTCGCCTTCGGGGTCTCTAATAAAGCCTGCGCCCGACGGGGCAATCCAAGCGCAGGCCCCGCACGCGGCCCTGCTGCCCTCCCGTCGGCTGAAATCGACCAGGCCCATCGCCGTGGGCCGAACGACGCACCGGCCGATTGTTTGAGCAATGGCCTGTGCTGCGGCCATCTCGGACGTTCAAGCGGCGCCAGCCAGCGGCTCGGCCGCGCATCCTTCACACACGCCGCCACGACCGGGATGAGAGGGCCCGGTGTCGAGCCCTGGTGCGAGCTTCATGTGAGGGGCGGCTGTGGCCACAGCAGGTCCACCAGATGGATCTCAAAAGCTTGCCGTCGGCGTGCTGTCGTGGCGGTGCCCGACACGCATTGAGAGGAGCCGAGAAAAGCAGCGGCTGTGGGGCTTCCACGGCTGCCAAGTGGTGGTCCATGACCATTCTGAGCAGAGCTGTGCTTTGGTGGGGCTGTGCTTGAGCATGTGTGAAGTGGGAGTGCGTGCCGGCGGTGTCTGTGGGTGAAACAGGCGTGTGTGAGGCTGCAAGAGCCGTGGTATGAGCCAGAGTGAGCTTCATCACCCAAAGTAAGGACGGTCTGGGACAGCCCAGGCTTGATCCTGATGGGCCTGGGCCAGGAGAGCGACAGAGAAGGCGAGCTGGCGAGCTGGGAAGCCGCTTCGTCGGCATGGGGTGTGTGCGTGTTCACACGATGCAAGTGCCAAAAAGCGTTGTTTGCGGCTATTGCTCAAAACTGTGGGAGAGAAGGCCTACATATTATGACTGCACCCATGACCCTGGTGCATGAGGGCTGCGGGACGGGACATATCGCGGTCGTTGGCGCCGATGATGACCTCCGGAAAGCCCTCACAATTGCTCGGCACAGGGGGCCTCCGGGAGTGCTCTTGAGCCCTACACCGGAGCATCACGAGCCGGTATGAGCTTGAAGACCCAAAACAAGTGCGGTCTGGGACAACTCAGGCTTGCTGCTGGTGGGCCTGGGCCAGGAGAGCGACAGACAAGGCGAGGCGGTCAGCTCAGAGCAGTACACAGCCTCTTGCTGATCCTTGTCTGAACTGATCAGATTCCTCCCCTCTCCCCCTAAAG